AAAGATAGTACTCACATTTCAGCAGATTCTATCAAATCTATTTGTAATAGGATATGCATTCCATATATTGAAACAATATCTTGTGAGCAGAATACTTTATGCCCAGCTGAGATAGATCTTCAGATGAATATGAGACATGATGCCATCACTACATATTAACAATGTACTAGAAGCATTACATGACGAAATGGGCTATCAAGGGCGAGACAGAACAACCAGCCTTATTCGTGACAGATTCTATTGGCCTGGAATGACAACTGACATCGACAACTGGATTAGCCACTGTCAAAAGTGTATCAAGAGGAAAAAGGAACCTAGTATTGCACCACTAGTGAACATTCAGACAACTCAACCCCTAGAACTTGTTTGTATTGACTTTCTTTCGCTAGAAAAATCTAAAGGAGGCTATGAAAACATTTTAGTTATAACAGATCACTTCACCAGATATGCGCAAGCTATACCGACCAGAAACCAAACAGCAAAAATTACTGCAGAAACTTTGTTCAACTATTTTATTGTAAATTATGGAATACCACAAAGAATTCATTCGGACCAGGGGGCAAATTTTGAGAGCAACTTAATCAAAGAATTATGTAACTTAACAGGAATTGATAAATCCAGAACTACTCCCTATCATCCGATTGGCAATGGCATGACGGAGAGATTCAATCGCACTCTATTAAATATGCTTGGAACTTTAGATGCAAACAAGAAACAGAACTGGAAATCACATGTTGCAACTATGGTACATGCCTACAACTGTACTAAACATGAATCTACAAGAGAGTCACCTTATTTCCTCATGTTTGGGCGAGAACCAAATTTACCAGTGGATATCGCATTTGGTTTAACAAGAAAAGAAAATAAAAAACCTAATACCAAATATATTCAAGATTTAAGAGAGAGACTATTGGAAGCATACAGAGTGGCCACAGAACAGATACAGAGAGCGCAGAAGAAACAAAAAGACAGATATGACTTAAGATCCAGAGGAACAGTGGTACAACCTGGTGATAAAGTTCTTGTAAAGATCGTAGCATTTGATGGCAGGCATAAACTGGCCAATAAATGGGAAGATGATATATATGTAGTGATAAAACAGCCTAATCCAGAGATTCCTGTTTATACAGTGAAGAAGCAGAATGGTCAAGGCAAGGAAAGAACACTACACAGGAACCTTTTATTTCCTATCGGATTCATATCGGAGGATAATGTTAATTCCACAAAGATTTCAACACAAACAGAAAGGAAAACAAGACCAATTCCAAAGCCTAGAACAAAATCTAAAGCTATAATTCATGAAAGCTCATCAGAAAAAGATGATTCAGAAGAAGTCATTGTAGTTACTGAGGATAGTCTGACTTCATCCAGTCATGACAAAGATGTTCAGTTTTCTACAGAAGATGTTGTTACAGAATTAGAAAGAAGCGCTTCAGATACAGAAATTGGTGAGATAGATGAAACAGAAAACACCGGTGTTGAAAAGAGTATGGACGACACTGTTGAAGATAGTATTGAAGATACTGTTGTAGATGAAGACAGTGCTACAGATGTTGATGAAGGGAATATTGATGATGATGAGTTACATGAAGCCGAGGCTGAGGAAGTTGATTCTGCAGTCAAAGCTGACACTGAAGATGAAGCCGAGGCTGAGGAAGTTGATTCTGCAGTCAAAACTGACACTGAAGTTGAAGCCGAGGCTGAGGAAATTGATTCTGCAGTCAAAACTGACACTGAAGTTGAAGCAGCAGAAGTAGTTGATGAAGAGGAAGTAGTCCCTAGGCGTTCAATCAGAAAGAAAGGAAAGCCAAAGTGGATGACTACAGGTGAATTTGTGTCGAAATCCTCTATAACAAAAGATCGTGAGTGGAGAGAAAAAGCAGATTATGCTGTGCAATTAATTAAGAGTGGTGTAATTAGAGACACCAAATTCTACCGATGCAATTTTACAAATCATTTTAAAATCGTAATGGATGTTTGCTGATATATGAACATTTTTTTTTCAAAATGTAATTCAGGGAAATCATGTTTAATGTTTTCATTTACCAGGATGATTAGCATGAAATGACATGGAAGTCATTTATTGAACGAGGGGGAGTATGTAGTAGTGTGTGAGTTGATTTATTTTAACAGATTATAAAATAAATTTAATTTAAAACATTTATCATTTACAGTAACAGCTTTCCATAAATTTATTCTCATTCTATTTAAATATGTCAGAAATGGATTTCCATACCAGTTCTGGTCAGTTTTTCATGGATCATTGAATTCTTGTTTTGGTTGGCTGAAAGTTTAAGTCATGTGATTTTTATCTTGAAGTTTCTATTAATATTATTATTTTTCAAATTGAGTCTGGAATGATCAGTTTGGTCATTCAGTTCTTGTGATATATTGATCTTGGACTTTATTTATCCATAGAAGATCCACTTGATATGATGTACATGTAGCTGAATTGCTGTATATATAACAAGGGTCTGATACCATATATTGGACTGTTGAATATTGAATATTGAATATTGGATATATAAAGGATTGAAACACCAACAATATTTGTTACTTTGTGAACCCGGTAACAAATGGCGCCCAACGTGGGGACAATGTAAAAAATTTTAAAGTTATTTTTCGATCGCCATTTGATCCCCCAGTGTGAGAATGAAAATTCCGATAACTTATTGCTTATCTACAAGACACCAACAATCATCATTCAAAAGATAAATGGGCTACTGCATAAAATGTAAGAGGAGCTCTGGGAACTATAGGGTGTTTTTGTATTTATAAAAGTCATTTTCGACCTCTATTTGACCCCAAGGATGAAAAATGAAAATTCCGAAACCTTATTGCACATTTACAGGACACCACCAATCATCTTCCAAAAGAAGATTTGGCTACTCTTTAAAATGGAAGAGGAGTTCTGGGAACCAGAGTTTGGTAGATAAACATCATTTTCGACCCGCATTTGACCCTTAGGGTGAAAATGAAAATTCCGAAACCATGTTACAGGACACCGCCAATCATCTTTCAAAAGATGATTAGGCTACTGTAGAATGTAGGAGTTCTGGGAACCAGGCTTTTGTAGAAAAAACGTCATTTTTTTTAACCCAGTTAACCCCCAGGGTTATATTGAAATTCTAAAACCATTTTGCACATCTACAGGACATCACCTATCATATTCTAAAGAATTAATTGTTACAGCTTAAAATAAAGGAGGAGTAAGAGGGACGGACGGACCAGAGTAACAACAATATACCCGAACTTTCTTTAGAAAGTGTGTGTATAAAAAAAATCACAAAAAAATAAACTCACCTTGATTGTATGGATGTTGCATACGGATAGTAGATAAATTAAATTAAACGTTCTTTGTTAAAATTATGCGCTTTTCAAACTTCGTTTATGGAAATGGCGCTAACATAAGACGTCATCATCCGGAACACCTCTGGCCTTTCACACAAAAAATGATTTCTTTGTTTTACTGTCACTCAGAGCTATCAACATATCTTTCAGAAGGCATTGAATACTGAAATTCTGCTTTCTGCAAAGGTGTCCATTAAAGTGAGAGCTGCTTCATTCATTAAAAAAGTGGGCGCATTGGAAAAAACAAACCAGCAGACATTGAAAAAGCGAATCAAGTAAAACTTTTAAAGAAGCTTTTCAGAGGACTTGGTTCTAATGGTATTGTTGGAATATCTAAAGCTGCACCAGTAATAGAATCTGTAGTCAATCACTATGATGAAGAAGCAGGAATCTGTGAGCTCAGAGCAACACATAAATCAAGATCTCTGGAAAATGACCTGAAGGTAATGTTAGAGAAAAACAGAGAACTGGATCCATTCAGTTTGCTTTCATAAAGGGGAATAATTGCTAATCATGTTTATACCGTAAATAAGGAGAATTTTCAACAAGTCGTCTCAAGAACGGCATAGAGATTTCGCAGTGGACACATTTCCCACAAAAGAAAAGAAGATGCTAGTGACGTCGTATTTGGTCAATATCACATGACAGGGTCCTAATATCTACATATCGACCTACACTAAAGTCCATAATTGTATACTATAATCTGCCCTCGTCCCAACATATAAATCTAATATTCATATTCTGTCATCACAAAATAAATAATTTTATGTGTGTGTGTATATATATATATATATATATATATATATATATATATATATATATATATATATATATATATATATATATATGTGTGTGTGTGAGGGTGTGTATGTGTGTGTGTGCACCCGATCCTTACACTTTTTACTAAAAGAAATTTATCATCATACTTTGTCTGTTAGCAGAAGGCCATGGAATTCCTTCCTTCCGTACGGATTGATAAAATACTGTTAGAAAAAGGATTTTGTATGTATAATGATAATCTATGAGAAACACAAGAGGATGATAAATCCTTTTACTAAGTGATATTTATCTCCCAGCATTATCATATAGGAAACTTCCTGTGACTTTACGCGGATCCAGGAATTTTTCAAAGAGGTGGAAAAGAGTGGAGGGGGGGGGGGGGTCCACACCCACTTAAAAAAAGTATCCTAGTCTGAAATTTTTGGATAGGCCTAAGCAAAAAACTAAAACCGAAACAACTTCTCTAAAATCGAAAAAAAAAAATATTGTGGGAGGGGGGGGGGCTGCTTTATTTCCTTCATACGACTCTCCTTACGTAAAGGGGAGGGGAGTGTTCTTTGTCATATTTTACGACTTCTTCTATTGATCTATAGAGCTCATAACTGAACTGTGTGTTTTTCCTCGCAAGAAGAAAACAAGGGGGGGGGGGGGGTGACCTATAGTTGACCCCTCTGGACCACCTTTGGTGACCTAAAATTTATGATTTTTTTTTTTTTAGAAAAAAAAAAATATATATTTATATATATTCCCTTCTCCTTGTATTTCTAAAGTCTTCATTTCAGAAATATAAGAACTGTTAAAAATTTGCGTCCCATATGACGTCATTTTTCGAGAGTACAAAACGAGGGAAAATAATTTTGTGATTGTGGACAAATTAACCATTCATTTTTGACAGGATTTTACAGAGGTATGTATCAACAAGCTTTGTTTTCAATGTAGAACTACATATTCAAGCTCTTTATTCTTTCAGAACACTTGTATCATGATACATGAGATGAAATATAACATTTGCATGATGATACACATTTCGAATTTCCTCAGTCATATTTAGGTATGGAATATACTCAAGGCAGAAACCTTAACTATATCCACACTTATAATTTTTATTATGTAATCATTTACAGACCCTATATTTGAAATTTTCACAAAGTTTTTAGTTGCAACTTATTTTTGTTATCATCTGCATTTAAGCATCAGTTCTTTGTCGGTTAAAGAGTTATATCACAGCTCATGTTAATCTGTTATATTGGAATCTGTTATAGTGGGATACAAGCCAACTTTAAATAAAATTTACTTGACTTGTCTTGATTTTAAATAATTAATAGGAATTCATATAAGATGAAGCTCAAACAGACTCCTTTCATCAAGATTATCCCAGTAATTTAAATCTTAATTGAAAGAAACTATTATACTTCCAGAAAAAAACCCATATCAGCTTTATATTCAACAGAAAACAAAAAATATTTTACTGTTTATAATGGGTATTTGGAACTAGTAAAATGACAACACGAAAATATTCTGATATCTTCTGGTGATCTAACTGTAAGATTATTTTCGGCAAGCTTTTGGTGTTCATTAAATATATTATATCAAACTTACTTTTCATAGCTGGAATGTTGTTTTATGTGAAAAATTGGTGTCTTTACAGAGGTTTTTCTGCAGACAAACACGTCATGGTGATTCAGATTTGTTGCACTGTAAAAATATGTTGACTGTTTCAAGTGTGATAGCGAACCCAAACTGTCGGCGAAAAATCAAAAACTTCACGTAATTCAAACCTTCAAAAATAGACCTTCATACCATAGGTATAAATTTATTTTTACTTTTTTGAATTTTCTAATTATCAGTTCTTAAGTTATTAATTATTCGGAACTGATCAAAATTCAGAACTGGTCAAATGACTGTATTTTCACCAGCTTTAATTTATTTCACAGAAAAAAAAAATACTGAAAAATTTTCTTTGAAGCATTAATAAATGTTAAATAAATGCCATCCTTAAAAAAATGTTTGATTGGAATTGCCACCTAGTAGTTTCAGAAAGGGGTGGGGTGGGAGGGGTGGGGGGGTCTGTCTTTCTATACTGAACAATACTGATGTATTCTGAATCCTTAGCTCTCTCTCACTTCTTCGTTAATTTGCACAAAACAAATAGAGTGTCAGGATAATTGGCATGGTGCTTTCCAGTCATGTCTTTGTTGGACATTTTGCAGCTTCTATTTGTCAAAGATAACCTTCATAAATTATGCTTTAAATTTTTATTTAAATACTTTGTGCACTCAAAAGGAAGGGTTTTACTGTCCTGGCATGTTAAAATAAATTAAAAACCAAACCAGAGGATTAAAAACTATGTATTTTCACAATTCATATGCATAAACCGATCCTAAATTATATATCAAACTTTTTTTTTTTAAATGACAAAAGCGGTTTTTTTTTGGGGGGGGGGGGGGGGGCATTAAAATTTTCTCAATAAGCATGATAATGGAAGGAGGGGTGTAACTTATTAGCTCATCTGAGCTAGTGAGCTTTTCTGATCATATTTAGTCTATTTGGTGTCATCTTTTGAAAATCTTCTTCTCAAGAACAATTGAGCCAGAAAAGTTGAAACTTATCAGAAACCTTAATTTACTAGACCCCATCCTATCCCAGGGGGTCAAGTTTATTCAAATCATGACCCCCTGGGATAGGGTGGGGCCACAATTGGGGATCTAAGTTTTACATAGGAATATATAAGGAGAATTTTTGAAAATCTTCTCCTCAAGAACAACAAAGCCATGATTAATCATACTGATCAGAATGCATCCCCAGGTAGTGTAGATTTAAATTTGTTCAAATCATGACCCCTGGGGGTAGGGATGGGGCTACAATGGTGAATCTATGTTAAATTACATAGGAATATATAGGGATAATTTTTAAAAATCTTCTTCTCAAGAACAACAAATCCATGATAAGTCATATTGATATGAGGGTATCCTCAGGTAGTATAGATTGAAGTTTGTTAAAATCATGACCCCTGGGGGTAGGATGGGGCCAAAATGGGGATCAAAGTTTTACATAGGAATATATAGGAAAAATATTTAAAAATCTTCTTCTCAAGAACAACAAAGCCATGTTTAGTCATAACGATATGAAAGCATCCTCATGTAGTGTAGATTTAAGTTTGTTCAAATCATCACCCCTGGGGGCAGGGTGGCACCACAATGGGGGGATCAAATTTTACAAAGAATATTTTGGAAAAAATCTGTATAAATCTTTTTCTCAAGAACAACAAAGCTTATAATGATTAATCATAATGATATGGTAGCACCCTCAGGTAGTGAACATTCAAATTTCATGACCCCCAGGGATAGTTTGGGACCAAAATGGGGGATCAGAGTTTTACATAGGAATACATGTACAGTATGTAGGAAAACATCTTTAAAAATCTTTTTTTTTTTCAAAGAATATCAAAGTCATTACTAGTCATATTGATATGGAAGCATCCTCAGGTAGTGTAAGATTTAAATTTGTCCAAATCAAGACCCCCAGGGCTAGGGTGTGGCCAAAATGGGTATCAAAAGTTTACATATGAAATTAATATATATATGAAGCAATCTTTAAAAATCTTTTTCTCAAGGATAACAGAACTGGTCACCATAGTCTAGTGGTAGGATGCTGGCTTCGTAAACGAGAGGCAAGGGTTCACTTCTTCGGGTTAAACCTAAGACGTAATAAAGCTAGTGACTGTTCCTTCACCAAGCGCTCAGCACTAGAAGTGAAAGTCAAGGGTCTTTCGGATGAGACCTTAAAAACTGAGGTCCCATGTCAGGGTAGGTGATGGCATGATAAAGAACCCACACTGCTCAATGGCCTTGAATGCCGAATATAGGTCTAAATTTGAAGCCCTTCACCGTCATCCAGTGACGTCTTTATACGAGTGAAAAATTCTCGAATGGGACATTAAACAACATAGAATCAAACATATACAAACAAATCAGGAATAACAAAGCCATTACCAGTCACTCACATTGATAAAGAAGTATCCTCAGGTAGTGTAAGATTCAAGTTTGTACAAGTCATGACCCCCTGGGAGAATGGTGGGGCCAATATGGGCAATCAAAGTTTTACATAGGAATGCACAGGAAAAATCTTTAAAATTCTTCTTCTCAAGTACAGAAAAGTCATGATAATTCATATTTGTCTGGAAGCATCCTCAGGTAGTGTAGATTTAAGTTTGCTCAAATCATGACCCCCCAGGGCTAGGATGGGGCCAAAATGATAGATCAAAGTTTTACATAGGAATATACATGTATATGAAAAAAATCTTTAATAATCTTTTTCTCAAGAATAGCAAATCCATCACTGGTCATATTGATACAGAAGCATCCTCAGGTAGTGTAAGATTCAAGTTTATTTAAATCAGTTGACCCCCAAGGTAGGATGGCACACATCTTTAAAAATCTTCTTCTTAAGAACAGCAAAGCCATGATTAGTCATATGAATATGGAAGCATCCTCAGATAGTTTAGAATCAAGGCCATATTGACTCAGATGAGTATTGTGACCCATGGGCCTCTCGTTTCAATAAGGAGGCAGCTTTTAAAAAATTAAAAAAAAAAAAATTTAAAAAAAATAACCAGACAACTTTTTGTCCTAAATGGTGTCATTTTTTACAGATTTGTTCATCACTCCATATAGATTTGCTTGAAAATGCTTGAAAGCAACATAATCAGTAGCATGTACTTCATTAGGTGTTTGGAAGGGGGCAAGTTTTCTTTGCAGATCGATTGATAATTAAAAATATTATAGAGTAGAAAATATAATTGAAAGGTCAATTGAATAAAAAATTTACATATAGGAACTTTTTAAATAATACTTATCATAACATGTATAATACATTAAACATGTTAAATGTAAGTTAAAGATCAATAGAGGCTAATCTGAGTTTACAGGTTTTTGGTAGGAGGCCGCTGTTAGGCCCCATTCCCAATGTAAAAGAATATGTGCTTTAATTTCCCAATTTGATCAAAGAAAATTCCCAAAAGACAATATGAAACTTTATTGCTAAAAAAATTGGCCGAGCTCAGTCACATGTCTATCAGGATCAGTGTTCAAGAAAATTCTTTAAAAAAACACATGCTCTAAAATGGCTGCCATTTTCCATAATGTCACATAATTCTAAATATTATAAAAAGAAAACTTAAGTTCATGACAGCAGGAAATTAAATTGATTTATAACAAAGATTGACCGAATGTATATTAAGTCAATAAATGCCTTGCAAAAGTAGAAACAGCTAATTTTTTTCCCAAATGGGAAGCCCAGGCATTTGATTTCAGGGCTCTCAATTGTCTTTAATTGGGGCCATTCAAGGGCCCCATTCCCAATTCAAAAAAGTACCTTTTTTCCCAATTGAATGTGTTAATTTTCTCAATGGTAATTTCTCCCAAAATTAAAGAAAATTATAGTTGGATATATAATAACTAAACTTGCTTCCTCTGTATTGCAAAACAAAAATTTAGTTTATAACAAAGACCAGAAACCCAATACATCATGATTATCCCAAAATGGCTATCCCAAAATTTCCCAAAAAGTCGCTATTTTCCCAATTTTTACGGCCCTGGCCTCATTCCCAAAAAGTTGAGTGAGAGCCCTGGATTTTAAGACCTGAAAAGCTTTGATGTACTAATAGCAATGAAAAGTGCTCAAGTTTTATTGTCATGTTTAGTCTGCATGATGAAAGTGACAAATTGGGGTAAGTACAGGCAAGTAAATGATCTACTTTTTAAAATATTTGTTATGGAGTACTAATTATATTGTTGATGATCATCCTATTTCTCTTGCAATTTGGAAACAAAGCTTCATTTATCAGTTCATTTTGTTTTATTTTATACTCAATCTATGGATCCTTCTTAGTCTTGTATCCTACTCAGGTGACTTTAAAGGCCCTTGGGCCTCTGTATCAATTGAATTCAGAGCAAAACAGTATATAAGTGCAGATTTTAAAGTGCTTATTAACAATTTCAAAATTATTTCTTTTATTTGTATGCATCCTCATGAAATTTTCATTCAAAATATGGTTTTTAGATCTGGATATAAAAATGTGATTCAAATCAGTATGACTTTCTTGGGCTAGGATGCATACCAATTTAACAGGTCAAGTAATCTACCTTTATATGGATATTGTGATTATGGCACACAGAGGTGCTTTGACCAAACACAGTTACCTCATTTCAAACGTCAGAAAATATAAGAGTTTCATTAATTGAGCTGTTGAAAGTAGTAAAGTCAGACAACACATTCCTCTAATATCTGTAGGAAATATATATATAGGAAATACTTTCGGAATCTTGCACAAATGCTTGGTAATTTTTGTGAGGAAACTCCTTAAAGTAGCAAAATTTCAATCACAAAATCTTGTGAAAAATTATATATTTTTGAGGAACATGTTGTCTGACCTTAAAATTCAGTACCTGTATATTCATCTACATTCATGTAAACTATGTTTTTTGTAGGTGCTTCTCATGCTTAAATTGGAATAATGGCTCAATATTTGAAAAAAAGCCAGAATAATTGGACCACTCAAAACCATTAAGTTGTTATACATTGTACTGCAGTCAACTTGGCAGCAATGAACCTCTGAGCAAGTGTCAACTTAAATGGATGAAATGTAAAGATTACTTTTTACAGGTAATTACATGTAAATATCTTTTTGATGTGGTAATAATTAAATTAAAAAGCATTGGTATCATAATTGCCAAAAATTTTCTTCAATTATATATATACTTTTTTTTAAAAAGTTGTTGTATATCGCCATTTCTGGCTGTCTGTGCACTTAGGCCCATGCAGGCTATAATTTCGTAATGGAGAAACATTGGAAGTTCATACATGCAGTACATCTTGCAAAGAATGCTTGTAAAATTCTTTAAGGTGTACATGCCATGATCTTTATACTAGAGATCATTTAGATATTCCTGTCCTGATCTGCAACATAGCATACTAATACTTTACACCCAGGGAGTGACAAATTTTTGCAAAGGTACATGTACTTGCCCATGGGCAAGTGAATAAAGTTTGATGAATGTACATGGAAGTATATCATAGGCTTGATCTAATATACTGATCAAGTATAAGGATTACTTGATTTAAATGCAGGTAGATTTAGCAAGTAAATATGAAAAACATATAAGTCAGTTTGCCCATATAATTTTCTGTGAAAAAAAAATGACCTGGACATACATGTACCTAGTATACCATGGTTGTCTATCCACTGGGAATTAATAGTTTCAAAAGAACCTAGCATCAGTCATATATATATGTACTAGTAGTTTATAGGTCTCTGTTCCAATTGAGTCATTTTTGAATATCTTTTAATATCATAATTATGAAATATGTATATAAATGTATGTCAAATATCTATTCATCAATGACCCAAGGTCATTTTACAACCTCAAGGTCACTGACTAGTGTTTTTATGACACAACATCACTGCAAATTATTGCTAAGTTCCCCTAAACAAGAGACCTGTGGGCCACATTGCTCAGCCGAGCAGTGTGGCTAGAAAAAAAGCAAAAATCAGTTCAGTATTGAAAAGCTTTAATGCATAAGTGGTCCCAACCTAACCCTAAAAGGGAGGGGGGTGTATGATTTGAACAAAATTGAATCTACATTAACTAAGGATGCTTACATATTTCTTTGACTACACTTATCTGTGACTTTTCCCCTACATTGAATCTTCACTAACTAAGGATGCTTACATATTTCTTTGACTAACTGTGATTTTTCCCCTACAAGTTTGAAATTTCATTATGGATCCACCCTACCTGTGGGAGTCATGATTTGAACAAATTTGAATCTACACTTTATGAGGATGCAAATATAATGAGTAATTAAATTTTCACTGTAAATGTTTAAGCAAATTGTGAACACCTCTCACATCTAGAAAACATTAGTGGTTTGGTGCTTTCTCTGAAAAACCCAGCGGGGGGTATTTGTCCCTTTTGGACAGTTCTAGTTAAACAATTAAAGAATTTTTAAGATTTTTCCTACATATTCTTATGTATTACTTTGATCACCCATTGTGGCCCCACCCTAACCCTGGGGGTCATGATCTGAACAAAATTAAATCTACATCACCTGAGGATGCTTTGATATAAATATGATCAATTCTGCAGGCTTTGCTATTCTTGAGAAGAAGATTTTTAAAAAAAATTCCTATTTATACTACTATACATGTATAACTTTGAACGTCCATTATGACCCCACCCAACCCAGGGGGTCATGATTTGAATAACTTTGAATCTACCTTACCTGAGGATGCTTCAATATAAATATAACCAATCACGGCTTTGCTGTTCTTGAGAAGATTTTTATAAAAGTTTCCTATATATTACATACTCCTATGTATAACTTTGATCGTCCATTGTGGCCCCCCACCCCCTCCCCTCCTGGGGGTCATGATTCGAACTTGAATCTACACCACCTGAGGATGCTTCCATATAAATATGACCAATCATGGCTTTGCTGTTCTTGAGAAGAAGATTTTTAAAGATTTTTCCTAGATATATTTCTTGCTATTGCCTCTCAGCAGTACATATCCTGAAGTGCTAAATACTGAACTTTATGAAAATGTACCTGTCCACAAATTTGTCTTTCTATAACAATTAAAATCTAAAGTCAACTTAAATACACAAAATAGAATCGAAACATGTTAATAAACCATATATAATCACATTCTTTTGTATGAATTATTTCAAATGTGTGCACTTTGTTAGGCTAAGGTATCAAAATGTAGTACAAAAAAATTGCTTCACAGGTCAATCTCAATCATATTTAAATATTTTTATGGACTCGGTCTTCAAAACCTTGGTTTCTTTTTACAAAGTAACATATAAGAAAAAGAATTAGCTAAAAAATATTATATATGTTGACGCAACATTTTTGATGGTATGAGCTCTTTACTAAATTGACCCCCATGAAATTTTTCTCCCCCAAAAAATATTTTGCCATTTACACTTTACTATACAATTGTAGTTTGCATGAGTGTACATTTGTATTAACAGTTTTACATATTTTAAAAAACATTTATTTACCTCCAATATCTACCGGTATTGTCTCTAAAATTTATTTTGTTTTACATTAAAAAAAGAGAAAAAAACAATTTGGTTTATAATTATTAGAGACAATGAATCATATTGACTTATTCTGACAAACTGAATGATCAAGTTACAGAAAGTAAGTGTACTGCAAGTGAATCAACCATTTTCATCTTCTAGTTTTCCAAAGATAGTTTTACATTGTGATGAGTTTGCAGGGCTTGGGGAGAAGGGGGGGGGTATTATGCATTGACTGTGATAATTATTATTCAAAACAAACATTGTAATGTTAGAAATAATAAAATTCATTAAATTTGTTGCTATCAAAATGTAGAAATTCCTTTTCTTGCAAATTTTCAGTATTAGCTTAAACTCGTCCGCTGACGTCATACTCATGGTCCATGTTATCGGCATATTCTCATCCTCAGAAATGTCGTTTATATATCATGTGCATGTATATCCTTATTACCTAATTGTGCCTCTGTCAACCGAAAGTTATTTTCAGTCTTCCCTTTTTAATTAATTTCTCGTTAAACTGTATAGTCAATGTTTGTAAGTTTATTGATGAAACTGACTTAAAGCAAAATCATTACCAGATATTTAAAACGTCAAGTAAAAGTCAAACCAATATAGTTCAAAAATCACATTTCGGAAATAGAAAGTGTGGTTCCAGTTTTACTATTTGTTAGTGAAGTAGTGAGAGTATTGGTCTAAAGCATTGGATCAGTTGGTTGGATTGGTTGGATAAAGCAAATTAAAAACATTGTTATGTCACTCTGGACACAAATCAGCAGTCCTCAAGGTTCAATGCACTGCACTATATTTCTAAGTATGTCCTGAAAGTGTATTATGACCTTCACCCAAGGATATTTGATCTAGATCAAGGTCACCCAGAAAAGAAATATAAAATTCAAATCTAGTCTATTTCTCTTATGGAAATGTTTTAAAGGGATGTATTATAACTTTGATCAATGGTCATTTTGGTGTATTCAGTAACACTTGCCTAAAAAATGTATAATTCATGTCTGGTCCATAATTTTCTTTTGGGTAAAAATTTGAAATTCATACTGCACACTATAAGATTACTCATGACCATAGGTTGATTCATTGTAGTAAATTCAAGATCACTTACAAAAATTTATTTAGGCACTTTAAAAGAATCTGCTTTGGAGGGGGTAGGGGTGTTATAATTTTGTGAACTTGCTTAATATTCACTTAACTCTATTTTAGAAAGTTTGATTCAGTTGAAAAGTTTTTTGGAGCTAATTGAATCATTTAACATTATCTGCTTAAAATAATTAGGTATTACCAGGACTAAACTTGTATGGTTGTTTTATCTTATGATAGATCTATTATACTAAACCACTTTGATCAAGACTGTAAATGACGTATTTTTAAGTTATTTAATGGAACGCCTTTAATGAGGAAGTTAATAAATACATGTAAAGAAATTTGATTTCATACTGAACATTGATTTAAATTTATGTTTACTTTTATTCTGCAAGGCAAGCTTGGAGATCTCTGATCACCTAAATAATCCCAGAATCAAGTTGGTTTAAAAACATGGTAATGTTTTATTATTATGTTTTATTATTTTATGATAATAAAATTATTTATTCTGTTTCAGAATGTCCAGGAAGTCTTCAAATGCAGGATATAAGCTGACACAGAAGAATTCCAAACTGTTCTCTTATAGAGGTTAAATAAAGTCTTCAAATGCAGGATATAAGCTGATGCAGAAGAATTCCGAAATGTTCTCTTATAGACGTTAAATAAAGTGATGTGCTATTATATATAATACAATCATAACAAATAATCTAATTAAACCAAAACAGGAGCTCAATTAAGGATTAGTGAACAATTCAAATGACTTTAAGAACAGAATATTGAAGATATAATTGCATGAATATACAAGGCAAGGAATATATATTTAAATATCAGTAAACTGTTATACATGTATTAAAGCATAAGAAAACATCCTCTTTGCGAATATTTCTATGAAGATGTGATTGGAGAACACAATATATGTACTAGTGACCAATGACTTGAGAATTCCATCTCCTTAGCCAGAAGAACTGCAGAAAATAATATATTCTACATGTATAATGTGAATTCAGTGTTTTAATTTTGGAATTTGGAGCTGTTGATTAACTTGTCAGTACTGGAATTTAAAATACTTTGAAACAGGAAATTAAATTCAAATTTTTAAAAGTGACTGCATATTAGTAACAATTAAAAACTGTTTTTTCAAAGATTTGTGATTTTTTACCCAATAAAGTCTTGTTTTGTTAAGAAATGTAGTGTTTTGTTGATGATTTCCTACCAATGATTTGTTAGTAGTTTGTTATAGTGCTTTGTTAGTAGTTTGTATAATGTTTTGTATGTATTTGTTAAAGTGATTTGTTAGTTTGTTATAGTGGTTTGTTAGAAGTTTGTTTGTTATACTGGTTTGTTAGTAGTTTGTGAAAGTGATTTAAGTTGTTGAAGTGATTTCTTAGTAGTTTGTTAAAGTGATTTCTTAATAGTTTGTTGAAATGATTTCTTCATAGTTTGTTATAGTGGTTTGTTTGTAGTTTGTTGAAGGAATTTGTTAGTAGTTTGTTAAAGGAATTTGTAAGTAGTTTGTTGAAATGGTTTGGTAGTAGTTTGTTAAATGAATTTGTAAGTATAAGTTTGTTGAAGTGATTTCTTTGTGGTTTGTTAATGGTTAAGAAGTTTGTTAAAGTGGTTTCTTAATAGTTTGTTAAAATGATTTGTATGTAGTTTGCATAAGTGATGTCTTGATGGTTTGTAAGTGTAATTTGTAAGTATTTTGTAAGTGTAATTTGTAAGTATTTTGTTATAGTGATTTGTATGTAGTTTGTTATAATGTTTTGTATGTAGTTTGTTAAAGTGTTTTGTATGTATTTTGTTATACTGGTTTGTTAATAAGTTGTTAAAGTAATTTCTTAGTAATTTGTTAAATTGGCTTGTACGTATAAGTTTGTTAAATTGATTTGAATGTAGTTTGTTAAAGCAATTTCTTAGTAGTACTAGTTTATTAAAGTGATTTCTTAGTAGTTTGTTACAGTAGTTCATTGAAATGGTTTGTTAGTATTTTGTTATAGTGATTTGGTAGTAGTTTGTTAAAGCGGTTTGTTAGTATTTTGTTGAAGTGATTTCTTAGTATTTTGTTATAATGGTTTGTTAGCAGTTATATAAAGTGGTTTGTTAGTTGTTTGTTAAAGGGATTTGTAAGTAGTTTGTTGAAGTGATTTCTTTGTGGTTTGTTAAAGTAAAGTGTAAGAAGTTTGTTAATGTGATTTCTTAGTAGTTTGTTAAAATGATTTCTAGGTACTTTTAGAAGTTTGTTACTGTGGTTTGTTATTAGTTTGTTAAAAAAGATTTCTTAGTATTTTATCAGTGATTTGTTACTAGTTTGTTAAAGTGATCTTTTAGTAGATTGTTTAAGTGATTTTTTAGTATTTTGTCATAGTGGATTGTTAGTACTTTGTTAAAATGATTTGTAAGTAGTTTGTGATAGTGGTTTGTTAGTCATTTTCATAGTGGTTTGTCCTTTCCCCATATGGGCGTGTAGTTTAAACTTCATTTGGGACTTAATTTTGTTTTACTAAAATTTTGAGAATTGTTTCTGCAGGGTTGATTTAAATTAAAACTACATAAATATAAAGGTAAACTGTAATTACACATCTTAATATAGTATGAAAGGTGCTGAAAATATATTATTTCTCATAGGAATAGAGATTGAAAGCTGTTACATGTACACATTTGTGTGCAAAATAATTTGTGCCATTTCAATAAATGAAACATTTTTGATATATTTATAGATGTTAAAATTTTTAGTCATTCATTAAAGTACATGTACTTACCAGAAGAATGTATTGGAAAAGATGGTTTGAACTTTTACTGAAATATTTTAACCATTTTCCCTCTGATGATTTGGAATAAATTATTGTAAAATACATGACATGTTATTTGTTATGGCATGTAATTTGTTTTTTAAATTGGTGTGTATAATATTGACCCTTGAACAGAAATTTCAAGTTTACTGAAAGTTGCAAACACATTCATCAATTGACTCACAGACTGTAGTAAAAAGTAATGTAGGAACTTGTACGTTTAACTTCATCGATTGCATCTGATATAATACTGAGTAACTCGAGAGCAAGTTCACATTTTCTATGTCATGTCTGTAAAGTCATGGTTTAAATGACTACCAAAAGCAGAGGATCAGAATATTTGATAGAAGTTAATCGCTGTACATGCATATACAAGTAAATACATGTACCTGGGTAATCCTTATTTGGTTGGAGCAGGTATGGTAGACTAATAATAGATGCAACAAAAACAATTGAAACTAATCTCCAACTTGCACAGATTTAAAAAATTAGTAACATGTTCTGTTTTCAATACATGTAATGTCAGTTTGCATGAAAGATGGTGAAAAACTTGGTTTATAAAGTGTACCTGTGTACTGCGTTAAGCAAGACACTGAATCGCTGTATTTACAGTCAACTTGGACAGGTTCAGTGATATGGTATCTTGTGTAAATATCATTGTGGCGTTTGTACTTTCAGGAAAGGGTAAAATGACTGGGCTTAACTTTGGGAGCTAGAACCTTTGAGGTAACCAAACAGGGGATTATTGAACCAGTATATACATGTATGTATGTAGTGTAAACTCCGACCCCCCCCCCCCCAAAAAAAAGGTAATAACGGCAACATAGTTTGTCGAAATAAAAAAAATGCAATGAATTTTGTATCTTGATGTAGTCACAAAATGTTCCATCATAATTATCTAATGAATGCATTACAATTTTGGTCTCATGACGCCGCCATCATATATACACGGACATAGTACTGTTAAAGCCTCTTTTTCATAACTTTTTTTTATGATAAAGATCTAGATTCCCTGCCTTCTTAGCAATGCGAAATTTGATATCACGCCAAGAGGAATTGTACAAGTACACGTACAATATTTACATCCACTGAATATAATTTCCTTTATGTCTTATAAAAATCATTGCCGTTAATCAGTCCATAAACAATACTAAGGAAGCCACCAGCATAGATTTCTTAAGCAATGGCTGTTCCATCAATTATACATACAATGACATACACATCTATAATACAATATTTAACATATTTAATTTAATTTGAATGTTTTTTTTTTTTATAATGATATAAATATAAACAAAAAATGCCTATCTTTGTTTGTTAGTACGGGAATTAACGTCGCAGCTATGGCAGAAAAAATTCACATAACCCGCTTACGCGGGTTATGTATTTTTCTGCAATAGCTGCGACATTAATTTCCATACTAACAACCAATTGCAAAGAAAGCATTTTATTGTTTAATTTTATATCATAGCGGTGTATTCAAGGTCATTCAGCATATTCAGTAGGTCAAATAGTTCGCGGAGAGACAATGTCTGAAATGTCCTGAAATCAAGAAAATTAAAACAAAATGTATCGTTTGCAAATCTCATGGTTATTGCATTAAGGGGAAAAAAAACAAAAAAAAAACAAAAAAAACAAATGCAACTTGTATGCATGTGAATGTATTTGATCAATAAAGATCTCTAAGTTCAAAATAACTTACTACATGCAAGTTACCAGACACCACAGAGTCTGCCACATCTCATTCATATTTGGATGTTTCACTGACTATAGACATAGGGGTCAACTAGCAACTAAATTGTATGAAAACGAGATTTCACCTTTTCCATCGTCAACTTTCCTTTTTTTATGTAGAAACATTCCGCTATCCCCTGCATACGGTGTTCACGACTTCCATCTTATTCGATACTCAAAAGCATGCTCTAAGTACGATCAATTTTTAAACCGAGACAAGATACAGGGATACTTTGAACAACCTCGTTTAAGGTCAGCATTTCGTACATTCTATGGCTGTTGTAACGACTTTATTAGCTATTGGGTCATATTTTGGTTGACGTGTTTCATACCAATTGTTAGGTCTTTGTTTTTATACTAAATTTGACTACGGAATGTTCCGTCTACCAGATCAATACTTAGGGCTCACGGCGGGTGTGACCGGTCAACAGGGGATGTTTACTCCTCCTAGGCACCTGATCCAACATCTGGAATTTCCAGGAGTCCGTGTTTTATGCCCTACTCACAAATTTCTATTGTTTGTAGATTTTTATGAGATCGATCACTGTCCGTTATCTTCACCTTGTCATTACTGATTTTTATCTGAAAATCAAAATAAGTAAACAACTAAATAAAGTCATGTATTTATTTTAATTTTTAAATAAGTATCAGTAAACAAAAGAACAACACTGTTACTAAGTAAGAAAATATATTAAGATACCGGTAAATGGTTATTGTGAAATATTGAGATAACGAACAGTATTCAAGCTCAAAGTCCATTAAAACAATACAAATCGGGAGCAGAGCAAATACGGACCTCCAAAAACATCAGAGATGAGATAAGGTGCCATGGAGGAGTAAGCATCCCCTGCCGACCGTGCTCCGTGTCATGATCGGGAAATAACGGAAAAATCCGTCTACAATTCAATGTGTAAATAATGGCCTAACAATTAGTATGGAAAACGTCAGTCTGCATATGACTTAATGATAGATTGTATTTGCTGACTTAAGGATAAATTGTATTTGCTGACAAGATCTTTGTATTGATCATAGAACTTACGAAATGATGACTTTAAACGACTGTTGATATTCTTGTTTCATCAACTTGTTTGTCAATAACTTACCTCGTTTTAGAAATTGTACATACGTAGAGCATGCTCTTGCATATCGAATCAACTGAGATATGTATACCCCATATGCAGGTGATAAGGGTATATTGCTACATAAACTTGTATGGGAATTAGTTAAAGTCATCACGTTTATCATAAAGCTTTGTTGTTATATAATTACCATTAACGTCTTTTTCTGGTAAAATATCCAAATATGAAACAGATGTGTCAGGCTCTGTGGGATCTTTTATTTCAAGCTCACCGGGGTATATCGTGTCGACATATGAATGGAAATAACTATTGTTAATAGATAATACATCGTCGATATATATATAAATGTCGAGCTGAAGGCCACAGCG